GGCCTGCCATGATTTTATATCTATGCATGTGTTCCTGGTGTCAGTACGGTACTGATTTTATATCTATGCGTGTGTTTCTGGTGTCAGTACGGTACTGATTTTATATCTATGCATGTGTTTCTGGTGTCAGTACGGTACTGATTTTATATCTATGCGTGTGTTTCTGGTGTCAGTACGGTACTGATTTTATATCTATGCATGTGTTTCTGGTGTCAGTACATTAGTCATTTTATATCTATGCATGTGTTTCTGGTGTCAGTACGGTACTGATTTTATATCTATGCGTGTGTTTCTGGTGTCAGTACGGTATTCATTTTATATCTATGCATGTGTTTCTGGTGTCAGTACATTAGTCATTTTATATCTATGCATGTGTTTCTGGTGTCAGTACATTAGTCATTTTATATCTATGCATGTGTTTCATGCAGATCATGCAAGAGGCAGCCGGGGGTCCGATGACATCATTTCCCTTATATGGTATGTACGGGAAATGATGTCATCGGAAGCCCCTCCCAAATTTTACTTGCATTCCTGTTCTCTAAAGGGGTGGTCCTAGGGTTTGATGGGGGCGTGGCCAGGTTTGGGTGGGGGAGTTCCACCACCTTTCCTCTGAGAAAAAAAGCCCTGATAACGGGTAAGGTGTGGCAGCTTAGTTGTACCCGCCAGTAGGTAAATTACTTCACCTTCTACCGTCATCCATCAGAAGGCGCCGTGCTGTGCAGCACAAGGGTCTCAGCCTTTGGGCTGGGTGTATGTAAATTTATTGTATGTTTCCAGCATTTGTGGTTGTGTTTATTTGCCACATCTAAGTAAAATTCTGTTGTGGCAAAAGCTGGTGTTGGGGTTGCTTTCCTCGTTCGTGACTTCACTGTATCTTGGGGAGCCCACCCCGGTACACGGCTTACAGCAGCACGGATGGTCACTTACAGGCGGCATTGATGAGGTGGCACAGATAGGCAGAACTGATGGGCACTGAGAGGCAGCACTGATAGGTGGCACTGATGAGCTGGCACTGATGATGCTGCACTGATATGCAACAATGATGGGCACTGATAGGCGGCACTGATGGGTGGCACTGACTGGCAGCACTGCTGGGCACTGATGAGTGGCACTGCTGGGCAGCACTGATGGGCGGAACTAATGGGTGGCAGTGGTGGGTGGCACTACTAGGCATCGATGAGCACAGGTGAGTATTGGTTGTACCTCTTGTGCTTATATGGATAACTCTAAAACAAAGCTGCTCTCACCCAACCTGACCCAATTGGTATGTGCAAATCAATATGAAATAATGGTGAAGCGCTACACAATAAAATAAGTGACAAAACTCTACAGTATAATATAATTATCCACAAACTGTGCTCTGATCCAATGCGGATCCAATTGTGAATAAACACATGAAAAAATGGTGAAAAAACAGGAAACCCTGTTTAAATACAAACTTAAAAGAGTGACTCAAAATAAAAAATGTAACATGTATAACCCACCCAAGGGAGCTTATGTGCCGTTTTTCTTCTGTGACAAGATAACATCCATAACGATCGGGGGGCGATCCTAAAAAAGCGAGCTGGCCCTTGGTGGTCACGTTTTGGAGGTGAGGGGCCATTTTGGCTATCTGAGGATTTTTTCACCAGAGTGGAGATCACTTATTTCACTTCATCACCTGCATAAATTATTTGAAGATCAGGGCCATATGTTTTTATGTTCTTTTGTCTATTGGACATTATTTTTGAATGTTTTTTGAGAATATTATTTATATGAGGTTTATTTAAGAGTAGGTCTTTTGTTATTTATTGGCACTGATCACCAATATTGTTTTTTTCCCCAGTAGGGGATTCACTTGGTACACTATTTGTATAGTCCCATTATTGGGACAGGAGGATGGGTTATACATGTTACATTTTTTTATTTTGAGTCATTCTTTTAAGTGTGTATTTAAACAGGGTTTCCTGTTTTTCCACCAGTTTTTCACGTGTTTATTCACAATCCGAATTGGATCAGAGCACCGTTTGTGGATAATTATATTATACTGTAGGGCACAGGTGAGTGGCACTGCTGGGCACAGGTTGGTGGCACTGATGGGCACAGGTAGGCAGCACTGGTGGGTGGCACTGCTAGCCACTGATCATCAGTGCCCTGATGATCGGTGCTGATCCATCCTCTGACAATTGCTGGTTATCGGCAGTACTTTCCTCATGTTGTGACAGCGTGAGTGAAGTGCAGCTGATAACCTGCAACTGCAGTATTTATCGGTGATCTGCTGTGTCACTGGACACGGCTGATCACGTGGTAAAAGGCTGCTGTGATTGGCCTTTTACCAAATCACGTGATCAGCTGTGGTTAATATAAATACATCAAAATAAAAAAAAACTAAAAATAATAAAATACACCAAAAAAAAAAAAATCCAAAAAAAATATATTAACCAAGAAACTAATAATAATACCAAAAATAAATTAAACTATTATTGATAAATGCATTTACATCCCACTCAATGTTAAGACCAAATGCGACATAAGATTTAAGAGAATATATCTACATTATTTCCAATTTCGATATTTCACGTCTAACATGACTGCCTTTCCAATTAGCGACAAATTTATCGATAGCCAAGAAGAATGTGCCTTCCGGATTTTTGTTGTGATGTAGTGCGTAATGTTTTGAAAGGTTATGATTGGGAAATTCCCTGCGGATATTCCTAATATGTTCGTCTAGTCATGTGCGCAACATTCGCACTGTCTTTCCTACATATTGTAACCCACACGGGCACCGTATAAGATATACCACATTATTTGTGGAGCATGTGATAACTTGCCCTATGTCATAAGAACTAGAGGTACAGGTTGACTCAAACCTGGTAATCCTTCTAGACCTTTCTCTGTAGGAAATGTGGGGCATGTGTTCTTAATGTCAATAGGTCTAGAAGGTTTACCAGGTTTGAGTCAACCTGTACCTCTAGGTCTTATGACATAAGGCAATTTAATCACATGCTCCACAAACAGGTGTATTTTATTATTTTTAGTTTTTTTTTTTTTTTGATGTGTTTTATTAATTTGATTATGGGTTAATTTTTATTTTTTATATTTTTTATTTTTCATTTATTTATATATGTTGTATTGTAATAATTCTGCTGTAGTTCCTATTGTGTCCCACAGGATGGCCTCATCCCCCAGTGGTGACGTCACTGAATTACCATTATTATATTTTATGTATTTTACCCTTTAGAAATAGATGTTTTTGATTATTAAAAATATTTTAACAATATGGATTATTATCTTATATTAAAATTTGCCCTTATGTGGTATTTATATTTTGGATTGGGGCCCACGGTTTGGTCCGTTTTTGTCCCCTCCTGTTGTTGGTATTGTTCACTGACAATCTGGTGAATGAGTGTGTTTTTATAGTAGTCCGTTTCCTGTTAGGAGCTTTCCTGGAGCTCCTTCCACCTCCTGGAATGCATCATGATTAGTGGGAGGGTCCCTCCATGCAGTATTTATAGACGTTGCCACTTCTGATTAGCCACGCCGCTGATGACACCAATTGGATAACGAAAACACGCCGAGTGGAACTTAGGCATGTGACGTCATCACATTTTTGGAGGGACGGCGGCCATTTTCCTGATTGGAAACTTGATTCAAATGCTGGTAACCATCCAATACAATGCACGAGTAACTTGTAATTACAAACAAGGTGATTTTATTACTTAAATACTACACTGTGAGTGGCCTTTTTCTTTTATTCCTTATCTAAATATTGAATGGGAGTCTTCTTTTAGGACTGTTTTCAGATCATTGAAAGGAGGATTGATATCTATCTGGATGAGGATTGCTGGTTCCATGATCTACACTTATTCATCTCCCATTTTAGATGCCTATATTGACCGTTTGTGTTTCGATCAGAATTTCTGGTACGAGGCTGAACCATTCGGGTGTCCTGGTGATGGGTGGATCGTGGGAATTGCATTTGGGACTTTTTAAACTGGAACTTTTTTTTGATTCATTGGACTTTATGTTTTTTTTCATTAGCGCTGCAATTTTTATTTATTTACTATAATGCAGCCTTCCTCCTCATCAATGTTTGCCAGTAATCGCCGGGCTCCGGTGGGTAATCACCGACCGGGACCTGTCGATTGACACCTAAGGCCCACGATCGGCGGTGTGGGTAGGGCGGTCACGCACCTCTCACGCGTGCCCCCTATTATATATATAATATATTTGTGATTTTGCGCAGCGGTACCGACCTGCCGCTGTAAATGTACTGTGGCTGGTCGGCAAAGTGGTTAAAGGCCATTTCCATTGTAAGAATATTGATAGAGCATGAGGTCAGGGTTGTCCAAATCTGTAACCAGCAGCCCATGTCTTTGGTGGTTTTAAGATCCCTTTCCCACCTGGAAATGTAAGTGTGTTTGTTGGGATGTTGAAGATTAGTCAACTGTGATACAGAATAGAGATGAGTTTGGGGAGAAGGGCGACCATCCAAATTTCCACGGCAGCTGGTGCTGTTGAGAAGCCCCTGTGTCCACAACTATAACCTTAACAGGGGAGGCTGGACGTCATCAACCAGATGATGAAGCCGTACTTAGTTTTCCAAAAAGCCTGACGCTGATGCAAAAAGTGTCTTTTATTTATTTCAATTGGCTCTATATACCGTATTTTTCGATCTATAAGACGCACTTTTTTCCCCCAAAAAAAGGGGGGGAAATGTCAGTGCATCTTATGGAGCGAATATGGAAAGGCTGGTCCAGTATTTCTGCAGCCGCCGCCACCGTGTCAGAATACCGGGCCGGCCGCTCAGCTCTTCTCTGCAGCAGGACCTTACCTGTTCCTCGGTCCAGTGCTGTACAGTCTTCCCGCGCTGGCATCTTTAGTGTAGGCACCCATGACAGCCAGGTGCCCACTGCGCATGCGCGAGAAGCACTGCGCTTATAAATGCCCCTGCATCTTCTGGGACACATGACAGGTCCCAGAAGATGCCGGGCCATTCACAAAGTGCACCGTTTCCCGCGCATGCGCAGTGGGCACTTGGCTGTTTTCCAGGTGCCTGTCAGCCAGGCTGTCAGCCAGGTGCCCACACTAAAGGGAGGACAACTCCGCGGAAGTGGGGATCGGGTACCTGTCAAATTCAGGCATCCGGTCCCCCTCCATCCCCAAAGGTCCACAGTCTCTTGGTCATCCCCTGTACTGTCTGCAGTCTCTTGGTCTTCTCCTGTACTGTCTGGAGTCTCTTGGTCATCCCCTGTACTGTCTGGAGTCTCTTGGTCATCCCCTGTACTGTCTGAAGTCTTTGGTCATCCCCTGTACTATGTCCGCAGTCTCTGGTCATCCCCTGTACTGTGTCCGCAGTCTCTGGTCACCTCCTGTACTATGTCCGCAGTCTCTGGTCATCTCCTGTACTGTGTCCGCAGTCTCTGGTCGTGTCTGCAGTCTTTGGTCATTTTCTGTACTATGTCTGCAGTCCATTGGTTCAAAATATTTTTTTTCTTGTTTTTCACCTCTAAAACCTAGGCGCGTCTTATAGTTAGGTGCGTCTTATGGAGCGAAAAATACGGTAACACTTTTGTGCTTTACAAAGCAACTGGATGAGGTAGATCCTTCTTAAAATTCCAGGAAAAGATCATCACAGCACTATTTTATCCAGAAGGTGCTCTGGCCCAAACCCCCAACCCACATGCAGTTAGCCGGCTGCATGAGAGGCATTTTCCCTATGCCATTCCTGGTACCCCAACCCAAAGGACACACCAAAAAAGATGTTGTGTCTGTAGAAAACATGGAATTAGGCATGACACCTGCTTTTTTGTCCCTCCTGTCCTGGCCAGCCTGGTCTCTGCCTCAAAAACTGCTTCCGTCACTACCATACACTAGTGGACTATTAGTATAGGGTACAGCACAGTTCAGGGCACATATTTACACGAGGTTCTGAAAGATGTTAGGTAGTCAGGAAACTGGCTATCACATTTTGAGAGACCCTACAATCTGGTTAAAGTTAAAAAAAAAGCAAAATAAAACATAAAAAAAAAAGCTAAAGTAAAAAAAAAAAAACATTTTAAAAACCAAAAATAGTTATCGTTCTTTTTTACTGTTATGGTTTTAATGTTACTGTTTTATTGTTAACCATTGTTGTTTTCTTTGCAGGAATGCCATTCAGCTATGGCACCGATCTGTTTCATCTGACAGCAACAGGGACTTGCCCTCAGAATATACATAAGTAAGTGTGTACAGCGCTGTTGGATGAGATTTCTAATCCTCAGTTTAACCACTTCCCGCCCGCCATATAGTAATATGACGTATGCAAGGTGGTTCTCTCGTTCTGGGAGGACGACATATGTTGTCCTCCCATTCTCATTGTGCCTGCGCAGCTCAGGGAGTGCGCATCATGGTGATCAGCTGTGCGCTGTGTCCCTGGGACACAGCGGATCACCGTTCACAGAAAGAGCCGAAGATGTCGGCTCAGTCATGTGATCAGCTGTGTCCAATCATAGCTGATCACATGTAAACAAGGAAATGCTGGTTATTGGCATTTCTCTCCTCTCGAGCTATCACGCTGACAGCTCGAGAGGAGAGAAGAGCCGGTAATCAGCTTTCCGCGGAGGAGACATGTACACAGATCATCAGGGCACTGATGATCAGTGTGCACTGATGATCAGTGTAGCCCCAGCAGTGCCACCTGTCAGTGTCCATCAGTGCCTTGTGTCAGTGCTCATCAGTGCCTTGTGCCAGTGTCCATCAGTGCCACATCAATGCCACATATCAGTGCCTACCAGGGCACATAAATGCCACATATCAGTGCTCATCTGAGCTGCGCATCCGTGCCGACTATCAGTGCGCATCAGTGCCGCCTGTAAGTGCCGCCTATCAGTGCCATATATATCAGTGTCATGTATCAGTGCTGCCTTTCAGTGCCCATCAGTGATGCCTGCCAATACCCATCAGTGCCACCTACCAGTGCCTCCTCATCAGTGCCCATCAGTGCCATCTATCAGTGTCCATCAGTGCAGCCTATCAGTTCCCATCACTGCAGCCTCATTAGTGCACATCAGTGAAGGAGAAAAATCACTTATTTACAAAATTTTATAACAAAAACGAAGAAATTTTTTTGTTTGGTTTGTTTAAGAAAAAATAAAAAACCCAGAGTTGATTAAATACCACCAAAATAGTTATAAAATAGTTATAAAAGTTATATCTGTCAAAAAAAAAATGATAAAAATTTCATATGAGTACAGTGTTGCATGACCGCGCAATTGTCATTCAAAGTGCAACAGCTCTGAGAGCTGGAAATTAGCCTGGGCAGGAAGAGGGTATAAGTGCCCTGTAGGCTTGTGGTTAAAAAGAGCATATATGCCCAAGCATGGGGACCTCTTGGGGTGGCCAGTGGTTGGATGGCCCATATGCTTCAGCATATATTTTTGCCAATTTTTTGGGGGGCAGAGATTTCTCAATCCAATCGGTCGAAGTGAATAGAGGAATCTGTTAGGTTCCTTTTTTTTTTTCAGCCCATGGGCTGAACAGCAAAAAAAAGAAAAGCATTTCATGTGTGCCCACCATTAGAAGTGGATGGATGCAGGGAGCTGTATTCTAATGGTGGGCATACCACACACTTTTTATGGCAGAGATTTCTTCATTCACATTGATTGATGTGAATAGAGGAATCTGTTAGGTTCCTTTTTTTTTGTTCAACCCCAACATTAGAAGTGGGTGGATGTAGGGCGATATATTCTAACGGAGGGCATAACACACTTTTTCTCTCAGAGATTTCTTCTCTTTTATCATTCAGCCCACAGGCTGACAAAAAAAAAGAACATAGCATTGTGACAGTGTGGCGTGCTGTCACGATATAAAAGGATATTTCACCTGGGGTTCTCAACAAGGCAGGTTGAGGGTCTCCAGGGTACTTGTTTGATGCAGATGAAAATGGTTTTTCAGTTTCCTCACTTGTTTGTAAAGTCCATTTTGGTACCTGGAGCCTGAAGACTTCAAAGTGATTTGGGAGGGATGAAATTTCCAATCCTTGGACCAGGTTTTGGGAATGGCCAGGAGACTGATTGGTCAGGTGTGTGTGGCTCTCTTCTAGAGTCAGGAGCAGGGTTCTGGGCTCTACCCTCTTGAGGAGTCCATGTGGGTGCAAGGAAGCAGCAGCCACAAGTGTGTATGGGGGCATAGAGAAATCTGAGAGCAAACAGGGCCCAAGCCTGTCGGCTGGAGAAGCAGGAGTGCTGAGAAAGGGTCCTAACCCAGGTGCAGTGGGTTGTATGTGAAGGGTCAAGAGGACCAAGGCATGAAGCCTGAGTAGCGGTGCTGCTAAAGAGTGCCAGGAGGCTGAATATTTTCATTTGTATTGATGGTGGATACCCCTGTGGGGAAAACATGTTATGGAACTTTCTTTTAAATTAAATTGGGCAAAAACTACCCTTAGAAGAAAGCAAGTGACTGTGTGTTAAAGCTCTACCCTTGATGCTAGTTCCCACATATGGTGGTGGATGCAGCGAGCATAACGGGAGATCCCTGCAATGAAGTTAATTTGTTATATGAACTGTTTGCATATGTCTGCACTATCGGTTTGTGCAGGTGAGGAGAATCTGCAAGAGAAAAGGAACTGGCCTTAAAGAGACAGTGTTCCATGGTGTTGATGAACTGTGTAACAAACTGCTGTGTGCATGACTGCAAGGATGGGGTGGTCATACAAAAAAAGGAGGCAATCCTTGCTGAAGTGAGAGATGGAGCCCTGTGGCTAGAGGGTTATATACCACATGCCCCATCCAAGCTGGGAAATTTACATGTGGGTGAATCTGCTGTGGACTGGTGCAAGCGGTGCCTGGCAGCATTGAGCCAACCTACAAAGGAAATCAAATCAACCTTCAGTGCAAGGAGAGAGCTGCAGATGATGTACCTGGGGGAGGGTTGTAGTCATCCCTAGCATCACTGCTGTAGTTAAACCAGTTGTTGTGGAAAATGTTAATGGGTCATGGTTTGAGAGATGGTCCAACAGAGAGAAGTCCATGCTATGTGCAAGGAGAGGGGCTGACCAGAGGCCAGGACTGAGAGAGATTGCCCATAGCAACACAGAGGAGGCCAGTTGGGCTGTCTGTGTATGGGGGGACTATGTCTTACAAGGATTGTGGCATCAGGGGGAGCCAATGCAGCATGTTTGTAAAGCGCCAGCCATGTTCTGCTTGGGGAGTGCAGTCTCCCATGGTGACTGAAGAAAAAGTATTGCCGGTAGGAGGAGCTGCATTGGAGATGTGGCTCAGTGTCCCAAGAAGAAGTGTGGAAATGTACCCTGCCTGGATTGTGGTCAGTGGGGGAATGGTATCTTTACCTGTCCCAGACTCTGGAATAATGCTGCTACTAGGTAAATGTTTTCATCTGCAAGCACAGATTCTTGTTTTAAAATGTTGGCAGCCACCTCTGGCAACAGGGAGGGAGTACCTGTTGTGCCTGCAGGGGGTGCCAGAGAATCCATGGAGCATATGAGGGCATCTGTCACTTCACCTTGGGGCCACAAGGGAAAAGTTGCCAAAGAAAGTGCAGCTGAGGATGGATTCATGAGACGACACACTCAAATGAAGATGGCAACACCTACTACTGTGGTGGGTAAGACTGTGTGATAAAACCATGGCTGGGACTGCTAATGTCACATGGAGAAGGACTGGTTGAGACTGTCCATTCTGATGTAGGAGTGACCCCACTTAGTTGGGCCATTGAATGTTCTCTTGAGTGACTTTTCCCTGTGCAGTACCTTGTACAGTGAGGAGATAGGGGTTAAAGTAAACCTGTGCATGGTTCTCAAAAAGAAAATGTCCCTAATGTCTACTAGTCACAAGTTGGTAGTGGGCTAGTACAGCACGCAAGAGCTAAAAATTCTGAGAATGGTGATGTTGAGAAATGTACTGCTGTTCGGAAAACCCTGAGCTCTTGCAGTGCAAAAGCTGTAATTAAAGATGGCTCATTTCCCATAGCAACTGGTGGCAAGACAGCACAAGTGTCCTTAGAAATCTCCAAGGGACTCTGTGTATTGGGGCCGGAGGTTGCCCTGGACAACTGCAATGTCACTCTGGTGGAGCAGAGTGGAAGTGCACCTTGTAATAGGAGTGTTTTGGTGCAGTCTAATAATACTGAAAGTGTTCAGGGAAACAGCGGGTTAATACAGCCTGTGAAAAATGCAAATGTGTGGGTAATTCATGAAACCTCACCAGAACAATGTGGTGGATGTGATGTACTGCAACCTGCTGTTTGAAAACGGGTGTTGCCCAAGTCTGACATTATTGAAAGTGATTTGTGCAATAGACCTGCAACTAAGCCCGTCTATTGTTGTGTCTCCTTAGGCAGATGGATCGGTGCTGAGGAGCACTAGAGAATTGAGCACATATACAGTGGGATTGGGTAAAAGGCTAATCTCGTTGCTAGATGAGGCTTTTATGGAAATAAAATAAGGTGGACACCAGGGGCGGTATGACTACTCATGGGGCCCCCGGGCAATAGGGGATCATGGGGCCCCTGTGTCCTTGCCCAAAATCAAAACTTATGAAAGGTACCAGGGGCATCTCATGGGGCCCCCTACTGACCCCAGGCCCTCGGGCAGTGCCCAAGTTTCCGAATGGTCAGCCCGCCCTTGGTGGACACAGTTTCTGCTGTACCAGTAGGAGGGTCTATAGAACAGCCTATAGATGAGGGCGCGCATACAGCAGAGACTGTCTGTGACCCATAAAAGTGATGTTGGCATGGATTGTCAAAATGTCACTGGGAATGATCAGGAGCAGCTTATGGATGCTGACTGAGCCCAGCACCTGGCAGCTCTCTGGTAGAGCACCAGGCTGTGGTTACCTCCAGCTGGGAGGAGGTCCCTTTTTAAAAGTTGCAATGTCTCAGCAGGTGAGTCTCTTGGCATTCCCAGTGTCATAAATATCTTCAGAAAGGTCTTGGGTCTGGAGTCAAGTGGCTGGGTTGTGTAAAAAAAAAAAAAAAAAAAGTCTTGGATTCTTGAACTTTGGGATGTACAACCAATCTATACTGAGATGTCTCCTCCACAGTCAGATGGTCTGGTACTGCGAAGTACCACCTAGGTGGAGCACCGAATGCCTGGCTGTACAGATCAAAGTGGAACAAGAAAGTGTTTTATTTCTGAATTTAATGGTGTTAAAAGTTGCCACTGGGTACACTGTTGGACTACCTGTAAATGTGATATGAGCGAGGTTTTGTAGAAATGAAAAATGAGTCAAAAAAAGTTTCACCTCCTAACAGCCAGGTGGGAAGCATTTCTGCTGCTATGGTGCTGGTCAGTTGTCAGTGAAGGGCGTGTTTACTGCATCAGTGGACAAACCACATGAAATGGAAGGGCCGAGCATGGACCAGAGATCCTGACTAGGGCTCAGATGGATGTGCTCAGAGAAGTCAGGGTCACTGGGCCAAAAGAGGTTTATGTAACCGGTCTGATAAGACACCTGAAATACAGGGACAAATGGTATGTGAAAACTGTCAAAATGGATCAGAAGAGAGCTCATCTGTTTAGGATTTGGATAAGATCCAAGTGGTGTAGGAAAAGTTAAAATGGTGGGACAGCCGCATGCAGAGTACATGACACTGTGTGTGTGTGTGTGTGTGTGTGTGTGTCCTCTGCAGACACCGTCCTAACAAATGCTGGAAAAGATATTGAGAGGTGGAATATATCTGTTCATGGTAAATGGAATACTCTGAGTCATGTAGATTTGATATCCAAAGTACCCTGTTTCCCCTAAAAGAAGTCCTAGTACTATTTTTGGGAATTGCTAAAGTATAAGACCTACTCGGAACATTGCGGAACGCCATTCCACCACCTCCGGCATTGGCCCTGCACACACCCATATCTACTGTCTCTTATAAACACAGAAGTGTGGCTGAAGTGACAGCACCATCCGCTCCTACAGAACCTCCCTACCTCTGTACTCGCTGTGGGACAGGGAAGGAACAGATATCTGCGGGTGCATTGCGCAGTGTGTTTAGGGGCGGGGCATCTCCTCCTGCAGCCTAATGCATTTAAGCCGATGCCCCAGGGGTGATTGCCATCCAGTGGGAAAGAGGCGGAGCGGTAAGTGTGCTTGGTGCACTGAGTAGGAAGATGGGACCCGAAACGGGAGTTACTATAGAGAG